TATAATTTTTTTTTTTTAAGGCTGAACCGGACGAGGTGGCACCACACCTTTAATTCCAATGCTCTAGAGGCTGTGAATCTGAGTTTGAGGCAAGCCTGGTCCAATAGCTAGTTCCAGGCCAAGGCTACATAGTGAGACCCTGTCATTTAAAAAGGGAGCAGATAGCCAGAGCTGGAGAGATGGCCAAGTGATTAAGAACGTGTACTGCTCTTCCCTAGTGCCTGTTTGGTTTCCAGTACCCATACGCAGCTCAAAACTGCCTATAATCCAGCTCCAGGAAATCTGGCCTCCAAGCCCAGCTACAGGCATGTGAGGCACATACTGCCACATAGGCATACACATAATTTAAAATCTTTTTTTATAGAGAGTTGAGTGTGGTAACACACGCCTATAATCCCAGCACTGAGGACACTGAGGCAAGAGAATTGCCATGAGTACAGGCCAGCCAGGACTACACAGCAAAACCCCGTTTAGAAAAGAAAAAAAACCCCACATACGTCTTTCTTTTCTTTTTTCCTTTGATGGGGATTGAACCTAGCACTTCACGCATGCTAAGCAAGTGCTCTACTAGGGAGCTATCTCTCAGCCCCAGCTTTTATTATTGAGACGGTCTGTGTAGTTAGAACTGGCCTTCAACTCCTGATCTTCCTGCCTTCATTTCCCAAGGGCTGAGATTACAGATGTGTGCAACCTGACTCCCCAGTCCTTTTGTTTGGAGACTTGCAGGAGGGGTGTGTTTTTTTAAATTTTTGAGACAGGTTTACCCTAAATTGCTCATACTACCTTCCGAGTAGCTTGGCTTACAGGGGTGCACCGCTACACCTGGCCTCCTGGGTATTTGAACGATAATGTTTCTATAAGTGGCTTCTTATTTAAGTCTCATCCATGGTAATCCCCCCCCCATACCTCCTCTGAACACCTTAATTAATGTATCCTGCCTTCTCCAGCTTGCTCTGACCTGCTACTCATTTCTGTGGTTTTTATAGTCTTCATTATCCAGTATGTCTTTCCGTGTTCATTGTCTGTCTGCCCCTAGAACGGTGCGGATACATAGTAAATGTTTAGTACATGTTATCCAGATGAATAATTGAAGAGCTAAGTCCTTACTGTCTTAAGTCTTTGTTCCTTTCCATAGGCTCGTCTGGAACAGTATCTAAAACTACGGTCTAACCTCAGGCATCGAATTACTTGGCACTTGAGAAACTTTATGCCTCCCTGACAGCGGTCTTGCAGATAAAGTATTCTCAGCTTGGGCTTTTGACATTTCCCAACTCCTCCATGGCCCTCACAATGCTGAACGGACTTCTGATTAAAGACTCCAGCCCACCTATGCTACTGCACCAAGTCAGCAAGACTCCTCAGCTAGAAAACTTCAACTACCAGAGCTGCTTTATGCAAGATCTCTTTGCTCATTTCCCAGAGGTCTTATTTATACACCGGACTTATAACCCAAGAGGCAAAGTGCTATATACCTTCCTGGTGGATGGACCTCAGGTACAGCTTGAGGGTCCTCTTACCCGAGCAGTCTACTTCGCCATCCCTACCAACGAAGATGCCAAAGGCCTGGCCCAGATGTTCCAGGTGTTCAAGAAGTTTAACCCAGCATGGGAGAGAGTCAATACCATCCTGGTAGATCCTCACTTCCTCCTACTGCCCACCCTGGCCATGGAGTTCCCTGCAGCTGAGGTTTTGCTCTCAGCGTTCCACATCTGTAAGTTCCTCCAGGGTAAGTTCTATCAGCTGTCCCTAGAACAGCCTGTACAAAGTGTGCTCTTGTCCTCCCTGCAGAGCACAATGTGCTCAGCCACAGCCAGCAACCTGAGGAAGCTGTACACACTCTTGTGCAACTGCATCCCCTCAGCCCGACTACCTGAGCTCCACTCACACTGGCTGCTCAATGACCGCATCTGGCTGGCCCACCGCTGGAGAAGTCGAGCCCAGAGCAGCCGCTACTTCCAGAACCTCGAGGTCACCACCCACATCCTCAGTCAGTGTTTTGGCACCACCCCATTTGAGAAACAAGGCATGGTGTCTGTGTTCCGTTACATGCAACAGAACTCTTCAGACAAAGCAAGTTTCAGCCCAGATGTCAATACCCAAGGCAGCTGTACACCCTCAGACACCAGCCTCAAAAGCCCCAACATAGAGCAGTTGGTAGAAGCCCGCATCCAGCACTCCCTCAATGCCATCTGCACTGAGCCAGCAGCCCAACTCTGCCTGGGTGAGCTTGCTGTGGTCCAGAAATCCATGCACCTCATTGGCTCTGGCTCGGAAAAAATGAACATCCAGATTCTGGAGGACACCCACAAGGTACAGCCTCAGTCCCCTGCCAGCTGCAGCTGCTATTTTAACCAAGCCTTCCACCTGCCCTGCCGCCACATCCTAGCCATGCTCAGTGCCCGCCGCCAGGTTCTCCAGCCTGACATGCTGCAGGCTCAGTGGACAGCGGGCTGTGCCACCAGTCTAGATAGTATCCTGGGCAGCAAGTGGTGTGCAACCCTCGACAAGCACCTAGCTGTAACTCTCCTCACAGAAGAGGTAGGTCAGCTCTTGCAGCACTGTAGCAAGGAGGAATTCGAGCGTCGCTATAGCACTCTTCGGGAACTGGCCGACAGCTGGATCGGCCCTTATGAGCAGGTGCAGCTCTGATTACTTCCCTCCTGTTACCCACCCACCTCCAGTACTGGGAATTGAATCTAGAGTGACACATATTCTAGACAAGTCCTCTCCTACTGCCTCTATTTCTTATTTCGAGTCTCACTAGGTTGCCCAGGCTAGCCTCGAGCTTACTATTGCTGAGGCTGGCCTCAGACTCTTGATCCTCCATCTCCAAAGTGCTGACCCACTGCCTATTTTTGTTATTTTGAGACAGAGCCTCACCAGGTTGGCCAGGCTGGCCTTGAATTTTCTCTGTAGACAGGCTGGCTTTGAACTTGGAAGCCCTCTGACTAGCCTTCTGAGTAGCTGGGATTACAGGCCTATGCCACCAGGCTCAGTCTCTGAATATGTGGATGTCCTGAAATGCCCCATGTACATGTATACACTCATACTCCCCTCTACACACACATAAATGCACATACATATACTGTTGTACTTCCAGAATGACAGGCGTTTTCTCTGTAGTCTGCTACCTAGAATGTGTTTAGCTCCATATGGCAGGAGTCAGCAAATCTTTTCTGTTAAGGGCTCAATAGTAAATATTGTGGACTTTGATGGTCACATACAGCCTCTGTTGTATATTCTGGCTTTGAAAAGTTTTGACAACTTTTTCATAAGGAAAAATTATTCTTTATGAAAACAGATGATACTCTAAGATGTTGGGCGCTGAGGTTGAAGGTTTGGTCTTGGTAACTGCTACCCCAGTCACGAGACAATTCACCTGAACCTGGCCTGCATGTGAGCTGGCCTGGGAGCCTTCCCACAGAGGAAGAGGCTGCTCAGCCAGGCCTCCTAGGGTCTTTTCCCCTGCTCCATTCTGGAATCAATAAAGTGAATCCCCACTTTTGTCTAGTGTTCTGTTTTGTACCCTTTCAGGGTATGTTGTAAAAGGAATAGAATTTGCAGTGTGATGCTCCATATGAATCTTGCTTTTCTACCTGCCTTATTTCTTTCTTAGGCCTGGTTCTGTTGTTACTAGCTATGAGACTTTAGAGCAGGCGGCTCTCTAAGCCTCAACTTGTTTATCTGTAAAAATGGGCATCCTTGTGGGGTTGGTCACATTAAAGAATGGGCTTCTAATCTGGACACCTAAGGGCTACTCATCCCCATGTTAATTTTCCATCCTTGCCTACAGTCCCATCTGCTTTTAGCTAGCTGGGAAATGTAAGGAAAATTCATACTGTCTAGGACTTTGTACGAGAACATTTTCTCAGGCTCAATATAAAAGAAGCCTCTACTCTCCAAACAAGGCTCCCTGCCTCAGTAACCAATTTTATCCTAGCAGACCTCTTGTCTTGGGGGACGTGAGCCCTACTGAAGCAGTGGCATTTATCAGGGTGGCTCCATCACCCACCCTCTTCCCCTCCCTGCCACAGCCACCTGACCCTGTCTACCCAAAAACCATTCAGAGAAGCCACCCTATGTGTCTCATGCTATTTTGTCTGACTACAAGCAGGAGCCAGGAGGCTGGCCCCTCCTGGATCTCACTAGGGGCATCTGCCCAGAGGCCATGTGGGCATGTGCCTGTTCCCACTGTGCACCCTCCAGTGGTGCTCCCGCCAGCTCTGGATGGGCCATCATGAAAGCTTGAGCTGCCCGAATCAGGTCTTCTTCCCTCAGGTCTTGGACAGGCACGGTGGGGATACCAGAAATCATCATGGCCAGAGTAAGGATGCAGACGTCAGGCCGAGAGCTGGCCTCCTCCCCCCCTGCCTCTGAGGACTTCGGCAGAATCCCGGGTGACAGCCCATACAGCAGCAGGGGCTGAGGCCTGCTGGGGCCAACCAGGTGAGGATCTCTGCTTCGGGAGCAGGGGTCTGCCCAGCCCGAGCTCTCCAGTTGCCTTGTGTGGGGTAATTTGGAGCAGTATCGGCTGTACTCCTTCCTCCATGGTGTCTCCCAGCTAGTACCCCCAGAGCAGTCCCTGGCTTCGGGCACGGCCAAGGTGGGGCCCCAGGCCTCAACTTTCGGGTTCAGTGGGCCTAGTCCACCAGCTGCTACCACCACTGGCTCTGCAGGACTATAGAGACCAAGGGACGAACCTGGAGAAGCAGCCCCATCTGCAGAGACAGGAATGAGATGGAATGTTATTCTTGGTATCTTTGGGGAAGAAGCCCTGAGGGGCAGGGCTTGGGAGCAGGAACAATTAAAACCTGGCCAAGAAGACTGTCAGAGGTTGGGAATGTCAGTGTTCCTCTTACCTAACCACAGTCCCCAGGTGATGGAGAAGTATTTGTTGAATAAGTAAACCAGTGGGTAGTTAGTAACTGGCAAGGCCTTTTGGATATCTTTTCTTCCAAAATAACTCATTCCACAGTCAGCCCAAAAATGTCCAGCAGAGCCTCTACTTCCCCAGAACCAGGAAGCAACTTCACATGGGAAGTTGTGCTGTCCCCAATTCCAGGAGCCCCTCTCTCACCTTGTCCAGAAGACAGAAGACCTGGATGAGTTTGTAGAGGCATGAAGTAGGACATGGCTGCCCCAGAGCCCCTGTTTGTGAGAGAATGGTCCTACACCTTCTGTCCTACTCTCCAGTTTTCTATAATGTCACCTCATGGTCCCCTTTATACCTGGACCCTACCTCACAATACTAACTTGTTTATTATAGAACATATATGTCACAATGGGAGGGGATTAAAAGGACACTGGACCAGGATCATGATGTTCTCAGCTCTTGTCCTTACCTTGGGCAAGTCATTTGGACAGCTGTTTTGTTTTGCTTTTTTTCTGGTACTGGGAATAGAACCCAGGGCTTTGCACATGCTAGGAGTGAGCTCTTCCCCTGAACTACATTCCCAGTTGTTTTGCTTTTTTTTAATGTAGCCTTGGTGGGCCTTGATCTCCCAGAGGTCCACCTGCCTCTGCCTCCCAAGTGCTAGGATTAAAGGCCTATGCCACTTCCCCTGGCCTGTTTTTACTTTTTTGAGGGCAGCCTCAAACTGTTGATCCTCCTGCCTCAGCCTCCTAGGTATGGGGATTACCAGGTGTTGCCATCACTTCTACCTCCACTTGGACATTTTTGTTCCTTAATATTCTCAGCTGCAAACTGGGGGTGATACTGTCCCTACCTTCCTCACCTGGAGTTGTGATGGGGGAGTCCTCCCTACAGAAGCTAATGATTGAAGATACAAATAAAAGTCTATGCTTTCTGCCTTGTGGTATGAAACAAGGAATCCAATTCTTTGCTATCTGGGGGGCTGGGAATTATCTCAGTTGGTAGAACACTTGCCTAGCATGCGCAATGCCCCAAGTTCAATCTCCAGCACCACATAAACAGGGCATGATGGCATATGCCTGTAATCCTAGCATTCGGGAGGTAGAGGCAGGAGGTTCAGAAGTTCAAAGTCATCCTTCACAGAGCGAGTTTGAGGCCAAACTGGGATACATGAGACTGTCTACAAAAAAAAAAAAAAAAAAAAAAAAAAATTGCTATGACATGGTTGGTCTAGGGCACTGGTAGTCAGCCCAGACTGTACATTAGAATCCCTCAGGAGCTTTGAATAATCCTCTGGCCCTGCGCCATCCAAGATCAATTAAATCAAAATCCCAGGATCAGACCAATGTTTCAGTATTCTAAGTTCTTCAGTAGGCCAGAGGAGCAGATTTGTAATTGTGCTACTTGGGAGGCTGAAACAGGAGGATCACAAGTTTAAGAGCATCCTGAGCAACCATAGTAAAAAGAGGGCTAGGGATACAGTTCAGTAGTAGAGCACTCATCTAGCATGCATGGGGCCCTAAATTCAGTCCCTAGTACTGTTTAAAAAAAAAAAAAATGGAGCTCATGCCTGTAATCTCAATACTTAGAAGGCTGAGGTTAGGAGGACCACCACAGTTCAAGATCAGCCTGGGCTACAAAGTGAGACTGTCTCAAACAAACCAAAAATGGAAAAGTAAATAAATTTTCCAAAGGTGACACCTCTGATACAGTGAAACTCTTCTAACTATATTAGAATCTCTAACGGAGCTTTTAAAAAAAAATGTCAAGTCATGGGGTTGGAAAGATGGCTCAGGGGTTAACAGCACTCTCTGCTCTTGCAGAGGGCCTGAGTTTGGCTCCCAACACCCACATGGCAGCTAATAATTGTTACTAGCTCCAGTTTCAGGGGATCTAACACCCTCTTCTGGCCTCTGCAGGCCTTGCACTATGTGGTACACTTACATACATGCAGGCAAGACATACCCATAAAAAATACAAATAAATTTTTTAAAATTGAAAAAAAAAAGGGCTGGAGAAATGGCTCAGCGGTTAAGAGTACTGACTGTTCTTGCAGAAGACCCAGGTTCGTATCCCAGCACCCACATGGCAGCTAACAACTGTCTGTAACTCCAGTCCCAGGGGATTGATCTGACAGCCTCTTCTGACTTTCGAGGGCATTGCACGACACAGATGCAGTTATCTACATGCAGGCAATTCACACACACACATAATAAAAATAAAAGTTTAATATTTTATTTTTCTTTTATGTGTATGAGTGTATTGCCTGCATGTACGTGAGTGCACCCGTGCCCTGCAATACCTCACAGGTCAGAAGAGGCTCTCGGATCCCCTGGGACTGGAGTTAAGAATGGTTCAGAGCCGCCATGTGGGTGCTGGGAATCGAACCTGGGTCCTCTGCAAGAGCAGTCAGTACTCTTAACCAATGAGCCATCTCTCCAGCCCCCCCAAAAAAGTTTTTTTTCATTATTTTTTTATTTTTATTTTCATGTGTATGTGTGTATTGCCTGTGTGTAGGTAAGTGCACCCATGTCGTGCAATGCCTGAGAAGGTCAGAAGAGGCTGTCGGATCCCCTGGGACTGGAGTTACAGACAGTTGTTAGCTGCCATGTGGGTGCTGGGATTCGAACCCGGGTCTTCTGCAAGACTGACCAGTGTTCTTAACCAGTGAGCCATCTCTCCAGCCCAAAATAAAAGTTTTTTTTTAAAAAAATTGAAAAAAAGGCACAGTGGCTCATACCTATAGTCCCAGAACTTGGGAAACTGAGGCAGGAGACTTACATTGAGTCTAAGGGCAGGCTGGGCTACAGTGTGAGACCTCAAACAAAATAAAACAAAAAACATGATGTCTGGGCCTAATTCCCTGACAAACAAGGAGGAGAAAGGAGAGAGGAGAGAGAGGAGAGAGAGAGAGAGAGAGAGAGAGAGAGAGAGAGAGAGAGAGAGAGAGAATATCACCACTTATTGTATTCTAGATAATCCAAAAGATCAGCCAGGCTAGGAACCCCTCTGATCTAGATAGGATCTAAATACCTCTGACCTGCTGACTAAACAGTGATTTTAGAACTGCCTCTCACAAGGCTGCAGAGGCAAAGAGACCCTCCAGTGCTCAGAGCGTCCACATCAATTATTTATTTCTGGGCCTGGTTGGCAGCAATGTGGTCAGCTTTGGACCAGCCACAGTTCTGGGGTCACAGTGCATTTCTGTGGCCCTGCTCTGGAGGCTGTAGACCTTCATTCATACTTGCAGAAATCCTTAAGTCCTTTGGGCAGGTGGAGCCCGTCAATGGCCGGCCGGTTCACCACACTCCTCTGGATCACTAGACGACACAGAGTCTGTAGGGACGGCACTGTGGAGAGAAGACTGTCAGAGGCAACTGAAGAGGTAGCGGGGAAGCAGCACTGAGGCTAAGATCTAGGTTTTAGTCTGTATTTGCCATCACCTTGGTAATTCCCTCTGCCCTCAGGTTCAGCCCACTTCCCAGGGCTGCTCGTATAGTCCGCATAAACACCTCTTCCTAGAACTTTGACTATACCCGTTTTCTATTATAACAGCCCAACCCCTTTTGTAACAGGTTCTTGGGACAAAATAATGCCTGATTTGCTTATGCAAACACAACCTAGCACAGGCCCAGCACAGAGCAGTTTCTGGTTCACTGCACTGAGTTGATGAAATGTGACCAGAGGTATAAATAAAAGACTTACTGGGATATAATGAGCCAAACCTCAGAATTTAAAAGCTCTTAATCTGAGGCTGGGCATGCTGCATGCCTTTAATCCGAGTACTCAGGAGGCAGAGGTAGGTAGATGTCTGTGAGTTCAAGTAGCCTGGTCTACATAGCAAGTTTCAGGTCAGCTAGAGCTACAGGGAGACCCTGTCTCAAAAAGATTAATAAAAAAAAAAAACAAGCCGGGCATGGTGGCACATGCCTTTAATCCTAGCACTCGGGAGGCAGAGGCAGGCAGATCTCTGTGAATGCAAGGCCAGGCTGGTCTATATAGTGAGTTCCAGGACAGCTGAGGCTACAGGGAAACCCTGTCTCAAAAAACAACAACAACAAACAAGTTCTCAATATGGGGTCCATGATTCCTCTAAAATGATCGACCCAAATCTATGAACATTTTTTTTCCCTTTTTTGAGACAGACTCACTATGTAGCTTTAACTAGCCTGGAACTTGCTATGTAGAGTATGCTAACCTTTGAACTCACAGAGATCCACCTGCCTCTGCCTGCCTCCCAAGAGCTGGGATTAAAGGTGTGAGCCACCAGGCCCAGTTTATGAACATTTTTCTAATAACATACAACTCCCAACTGAGTGTGATGGCTCACACTAATTCCAACACCTGGGAGGCAGAGGCAGAACTGCTGAAAATTTGAGGCCAGCCTGGATTACATAGTGAGTTCCAGACTAGCCTGGGGTCTAAAACTGGATTTTAGAATCCCTGGTCATAAGGATGTGTAGCCTAGCATGCACGGGACCCTGGGGTGGTTCCCAGGACAAAACAAAACAAATTACAAAATAAAAATGTTAAAATCTCTGTCCTAGGTTAATTCTGAAACATTGTCCAAACTAAAAGGGACATTCAGGGTATCTTGATTAATAGGTATACTGAGGCTCACAGGCAAGGAGTGACGTGTAAAATCCAGCAGATGGGCAAAGTGAAGCCAGATTCTCCAGCTTCAAAACTAAGGGACCAACCCAAGGCATTGCTAGCTGACTAGGGGGTCCTACTACACTGGGCCAGGAGGGGGCGTCGCTGCCCGGGGGGGGGGCGATACCTACAGCCATACTCCAGTTGGACCAGGCGCACAGTCTTGGTGGAGGCAAACACGTCTACCACTGCATAGAGAGGCTGAGCAGCTGGCAGCCCGCGGGCGCTGGGACCCATGTCCTCCCCGTTGATGACAATGTGCATGTCGGCGGTCCCATCCCCACGCGGGCAGAAGAGAACACCCAGGCGGCTTCGGCGCGCGGTAGGAGGCAGCACGTTCAGCTCGTAGAGCTGGTCCAGGAGATGGCTATAGAGCCCTGGCCGGCTGCGGCCCACCAGGCGGTCCCGCGGGATTCGGAACTGCTCAATGCACAGATACGGTTCCAACAAAAGGGTTGGGGGTCTGCTGGGGGCCGCTACCTCCGCCTCGGAGTGGCCTTCCCGGGACACGCGGTTGTGGTGGCGCGTAATAGCGAAGACCCAGGTGTGGCCAAGGCTGACCAGGTCCGGCAGTGAGAACTCGGGCACCGGGGCCAGCCTGGCTGGGTCCAGCGCGGTCAGGCCGAGCCGCAGATGCCCGCACCAGCCCAGCTCTTTCTCCTCGATCTCCACCAGGAAAACCTGGCCAGGGGCCAGCGGCTCGCGACTGAAGCACACACCGTGAGCGAAACTTTCCACGCGTGTGGCTCGCGTCCCCGAGGGGTCCACGCGGATGTTGGCGCCATGCACCGGGTGGAAGCGGATGGGATGGGGCTCCGGGAGCGCAGGGCCCCAAGGTCCACTCAGCCCTACGGGTTCGGAGGCAGCAGACATCTCCCCGCCATTAAGACAGGACAGCTGGTGCCAGGGGCTATTTTGGGCACGGGCTCAGATGGTGACCGCGGAGGGGAACCATGTAAGGCATTTCCCCTCCTGGCTACCTTCCCAGGCTCTGCCCGAGGGTCCTAGCGCCGGTTTTTCAAGCATCTGGCCTAGAACCCGTCCCCAGGAAGCTGGGGGACCTCCTGGTAACACCAAGATCATCTGATCGCTGGCGCGGGCACGTACAACCCTCGGGGGCTGTGGACTTTGGCACGGTAACTGACCGCTCCCAGTCCTCAGGCCCACAGACACCAAAAAGTGGACTTGAGCAAACTGTCACGTGACGCAAGAGCTCACGTGACTCGGAATACACATGACTTCAGTCCACCGGCGCTTCCTGGAGAGCAAGGACGCTAGGAAGCAGAGGTAAGGAGACTCCGGGACCGATGGGCAGCGGAGGCGGCTTGGCGGCCGGGAGCTGGACCCAGGTGGGGGTTTCCCTCCGGGATGCGTGCCTGCTCTGCCCGGGGGATGGCTGCACCGAAGCGCCGAGGAACCGAGAAGCTGGTAAACATAGGCCAACAACGCTTCCTCCCGCAGATGACCCGAGCCCGGCTGCCCTCGCCGCTGTTCCTGCTGCTGCTGCTCGTGGCCTGGGCATCCCGAGGCAAGGCAGCCCCCGACAAGGACGAGATCGACTGCCTCCCCGGGCTGGCCAAGCAGCCGTCTTTCCAGCAGTACTCGGGCTACCTCAGAGCCTCGGATTCCAAGCACTTCCACTACTGGTGAGTCGCTCTGCATCCCTGCGAGGGAGAGCTTGCACGCTCCCCCCAGGAGGGCTAGATCACTGGGGGCCGGGGTCGAAGTCCTACGACCCCAGGCGGGAGGGGAGTCCCCCTCACTTGCACCAATCCTGCTCTGTGGCTTTCCTAGGTTTGTGGAGTCGCAGAAAGACCCGAAGAGCAGCCCGGTGGTTGTTTGGCTCAACGGAGGTCCCGGCTGCAGCTCCCTGGATGGGTTCCTCACCGAGCACGGCCCCTTCTTGGTGAGTGACAGCTGCTCTCACCTGCTGTAACTCAGGAGAGAGGGCAGGGGGCAAGGAAAAGGCAAGAAGGGGAGAGAGAGAAGGATCTTGTAGCACCCCAAATTTGTTAAGTCATGTACCACCATGTCCAGCCAATCCAGCCAAGCCTTTTTTTTTTTTTTTTTTTTTTTTTTTTACTATTAGCCTATGTCTGTACTTCTCAGGGGGTTAAAACTATATGTAAAGGGCCTATAGCACTGTGGCCCTTTGTCTTCACCCCTTGGGACTCACACAGCCATCTCTTTCCTACCCAGATCCAGCCAGATGGTGTCACCCTGGAGTACAACCCGTATTCTTGGAACCTGGTACAGCTTCCCCTGTGGGTCCTTTAGGGGTGTCTGGGCACTTTGATAGTCAGGGGGAACCCTCTAATGGTCATTTCCTCTTCTCTAGATTGCCAACATGTTGTACATTGAGTCCCCAGCTGGGGTGGGCTTCTCCTATGCCGATGACAAGTCATACGTGACCAATGACACTGAGGTAAGCCCGATGCCTGCCAACCTGCCACAGCCTCCTTGTTTCTCCAAGGATGGTGTGATGAGGGGAGAGAAAGCATGGCCTCAGAGTCTACTTTTGGCACTGTCACGTGATCTGTGGTGTGATCATAACCAAGTCACTTCCTCTTGCACAAAACAGAGTGGGCTGAACTCTTTGTCTCTGAAGATCTTTCTAGTTCATATGCCAAGCCTTTTGATTTCCTCCATCCTGCCATGCCCAGGTGGCTCAGAACAATTTTGAAGCCCTCAAAGACTTCTTCCGCCTCTTTCCGGAGTACAAGGACAACAGACTTTTCCTGACAGGAGAGAGCTATGCTGGCATCTACATCCCCACCTTGGCTGTGCTGGTCATGCAGGACCCCAGCATGAACCTTCAGGTGCAGGGCAGCTGCAAGAGGGAAGGGAGGTACCTTGGGGCCATAACCTTGCATTGGCAAGATCAGCCTTAGCCTTCAGAGATTGCTGGGTAGCTACTGGCTCCTCTGCTTCCATACCTCCTACCACAGAAAGCTCACCTGTCAAGCTACCTGTTCTGTTCTTTAAATTGAGTGACTTTCCCCACCCACTCCTACAAACCACTCTGGGTTTCAGCCTCCAGATTACAGGTCTGGGCGTAGGTCAAGGGAGGCTCCCCCTCATCCTCACCCTCCAGATGAGCTGAGCATCCTGGGTGTTTCACAGGGGCTGGCTGTGGGCAATGGACTCGCCTCCTATGAGCAGAATGACAACTCGCTGGTCTATTTTGCCTACTACCATGGCCTTCTGGGGAACAGGTATGGGAGAGGGACAGTTGGGCAATCTCTAAGGTGGGGCAAGTCATGAGATTGATCTGTCCTCTGGCACATGACATTCCTGCAGTGGTGGGGACTAGGGTTGACTGAAGGGTTTGCCACTTAAAGGCCAAGAACAGAGACTGGAATTTAAAAGAACTAAGAAAGCTGAGCATGGCAGTGCATCCTTGTAATCCCTGCATTCAGGAGGCAGAAGTGGAAGAATCATTAGTTTGAGGCCAACCTGGGCTACATAGTGAGTTCAGGGCTAGCCCAGACTACATAGCAAAATCTGTCTTTTTGAGACAGGGTCTCCCTGTAGCCCCAGCTAGCCTAGAACTTCCTATGGAGACCAAGCTAGATTTGAACTCACAGAGATCCACCTTCTGCCTCTCAAGTGCTGGGACTAAAGGCATGTGCCACCACGCCTAGCCAAAAAGAATTTCTTAAATGTATTAAGGAGGGCTATTTGGACTGAGGAGCAGGTTCTTAGCAAGCTAGGTTTGGTTCACCTACATTCCACAACCTGTATTACCTTTCCTCTGCCCTGAGGTCGTGGTCTGGTGGAGGGTTGGAGGGAGGAAGGGAGACACTGGCACTTCTGCCAATATCCAGCCTAAGCACTTGCCCTCTGATCTCCTACAGGCTCTGGTCTTTGCTCCAGACTCATTGCTGCTCTCAAAACAAGTGTAACTTCTATGACAACAAAGACCCAGAATGCGTAAACAATGTGAGGTTCTCTCCACCCCTACTCTATGGCCCCCCCACCCTAATCCTGAGAAGTGGACCACAGCCTTTCCATGGAGGCTCCCTCTCTCTCCAGCCCCATTGCTTCCCTTTTTTATGATTCTGGGGATCGAACTCAGGACCTCATACATGCAAGGCAAGCATGCTACCAACTAAACTACATCCCTAACTGGCCCCACTGCCTTTTGTTGTTATTGTTTGTTTTGGAGACAAGGTCTCCCTGGAGCCTCAGCTGGCCTGGAGCTAATTATATAGACCAGGCTGGGCTTGAACTCACAGAGAGATCCGCCTGCCTCTGCCTCCTTAGTGCTGGGAGTAAAGGCATGCGCCACCACACCCAGCATCCTGCTGCCTTTTTATCCTGGACTTTTTTTGGTTTTTGTTTTTTGTCTTTTTGAGACAGGGTCTCTCTGTAGCCCCAGCCATCCTGGAACTATGTAGACCAGGCTGGCCTCGAACTCACAGAGATCCACCTGCCTCTGCCTCCCGAGTGGTGGGATTAAAAGCATGCACCACCTCGCCCAGCCCTTTACCCTGGACTTTTTAACACTGTGGTCACCTCTGGGAAATTCAGTGAGAAAACTGAAGCCAAGAATGTTGAGGACACTTGCCTGAAGTCACAGGACAGGAAATGGTGGTGCTAGGATTAGACTCATATCTGGAAGCTTCCTTCCAGTGAGCCTCAGGTTCCCTGCCTGTGAAAAAAGAGGGTGAACAGTGATGGCAGGAATGAATTAGGAGGGCAGTATATCTTGGGATAGGAGTGGGGGAGGTCCCAGAGGGCAGTGGATCTACAAAGCATGGTGGTATGTTGTCACAGCTCCTGGAAGTATCTCGCATCGTGGGCAAATCCGGCCTTAACATTTACAACCTCTATGCCCCTTGTGCTGGTGGCGTGCCCAGCAGTTATAGGTAGGTGCTGCTGTATATCCCTTGGACCAATCCCAGTCGCACCTGAAAGCCCAGCACCCATCCTCCCACTTGTCTTTCAGATATGAGAAGGATACTATTGTGGTCCAGGATTTTGGCAACATCTTCACTCGCCTGTCACTCAAGCGGGCATCACATCAGGTATGCAAGGGTCTGGGCTTCTTCCCCAAGGGATAGGTAAGCAGGTAGGTAAGTGGAAATCCTCACCCTATGTCCGTGCCCCACCCCCCAGGCACTGCTGCTGCGTTCTGGAGACAAGGTGCGCCTGGATCCCCCCTGTACCAACACCACAGCCGCCTCTACCTACCTCAACAACCCATATGTGCGGAAGGCCCTCCACATCCCCAAGGAGTTGCCCCAGTGGGACATGTGCAAGTGAGCTTTTGTGGCATGGTTCAAGGGGGTGGCATCAGTAAGGTTCCCAGGGACTGCAACTAGAGCATCTCAAAAAGGGCAATGTGGACATTCAGGTTCAAAATTAGTTGTGCATAGTGTTTAGCATCCCAGAACCCCAGGTTGACTGACAGCCAATTCATTTGTTGGTGGCCACATTGGTTAATATCAGTTGCTTTTCTGACATTCAGTAGATACTCCCAACTGCCACTTCATCCACAGCTGCCCATTTCTTCCAATGACCTCTACAAGTAAAAAGGGTGACACCTAGCACAACAGAGCCTAGTCAGGTCTGTCCCGACTGGTCAGTGCCCACCCACGCTCCACCCTGTTGTTTCCGGCGATTACTTTCACACAAAATGCCAGTTGCATCCCAGTCAAGAGATGTGCCTATACATTTCTAAATAGGGGTAGCTAGCTTGATAATCTCTGAATGCCAGCCCCTGTTCAGGTAAGCCCTAGAGAGATGATACTGAAGATGGACCAACTCAGTATAGGCTGGAGTTTGGAAATAGGACACGTCTGATCTGTTGATGGTCTTCCCTGTTTTTCCTGTGTCTTGTGCCCTTGTTCCTGGCAGCTTCTTGGTGAACTTACAGTACCGCCGTCTCTACCAAAGCATGAACTCCCAGTACCTGAAGCTGCTCAACTCACAGGTGCGTGGGGTACAACACAGCGGGATCCAGCCTCAGCTTAGGATCTTGCAGTAGCTGTGGACTTAGGAGTAGTGCATCAAGCTGGGGCCTCTTTGGAGCTTGCGCCACCATGCACTGGTGGCTGGTTTTTGTTGTTCTGAGACAGTCATACACTGTAACCAGGGCTGGCTGTGAACATTTCAATCCTGCCTCAGCCTCTCCAGTACTGGGATTACAGGTGTGTGTCACCATGCTCGGCTCTGGAAAAGTTTCTTAAATGTCATCAGCTGCCATTTCCCCATCTGTAAAATGAGGATAAACTAGGTGTGGTGACTCATACATGTAATCCCAGTACTGGGGAGGCTGAGGAAGAAGATCTTAAATTCTAAGCCAGTCTGGGCTACATAATGAGACCCTGTCTCATTTTAAAGGGGAGAGTCATGGTAATAATGATATCTTCCTCCATATTTAATAAAAGTGTTTGGCTGGTGTTTACTAGACATGTAGTCATCAGTGGTCAGAAAACACAAGAATTCCAGGTTCATATTATGGAGTTGGGCCTGTGAATTTCCTCAAAGGTGGGCCTTGGGCCCATCCCAGACTTCCATTTTCCCCTTGTCCTCCTCCAGAAATACCAGATCCTCTTATACAATGGTGATGTGGACATGGCCTGCAATTTCTTGGGGGATGAGTGGTTTGTGGACTCCCTCAACCAGAAGGTAAGGCAGGAATTGCTGGCCCTGGGTTCAGGCTGAGTGCAAGGGAGGGAGTGTCCCAGGAGTGGCTCTAGTCTGCAGCGGGCAGACCTGGAGAGTTCCCCTGTCCTGAGGTCTTGCTGGTAGCCATGAGCAGGGATGGTGGGGGCTGCCAGCTGATGTCTTCCCTGGTGGGACAGATGGAGGTGCAGCGTCGGCCCTGGCTAGTGGACTATGGGGACAGTGGAGAGCAGGTCGCTGGCTTCGTGAAGGAGTTCTCCCACATTGCCTTTCTCACAATCAAGGTAGGACCTGGACCTAATGAGGGAAAAATGTGCTGGGTCCTACCTGTCTTAATCTTTGATTCCTTTACTCTGGGTCACCATTGACCTGTAAGGGCAAGTCTTCGGGGAGGAGGGAGGGAGGAATGAGGTGAAGGAAGTGCCAAAGGGTAAAGGGTGGTAAAAGTTGGGGATCTGGATCTCATAAAGCTTTGCTCCCCAGGGTGCCGGACACATGGTCCCCACTGACAAGCCCCAAGCTGCCTTCACCATGTTCTCTCGTTTCCTGAACAAGGAGCCATACTGATACCTGAAGGGACCTGTGGCGGTCCCCAGTACCTACTGATCCAGCCCCTCCTAGCCTCTCTAGCTAGAGGGTGATCCCCCCTTATGTAAATGCCCCTGTGGGGCAGGTACTGCTCTAGAACTGCCCCTACTTCCCACAGCCTGTAGCATCCCAGCCTGGGCCCCAGGGCTTCACAGACAGCCTAGGGACAAGTGAGCACTTTATTCCTGCCACAGGTCCTGGGGTAGCCTGGCCCCTCCCTGCTTAAAGAACGCCCTTCTTCATACATTGGCCCCATCCCAGGACCCCAGCAGAGCTCTCACGATAGCCTAAAGAGAAGGATAGAGGATTGTAATTGACAGATTGACTGATTATGAAAATAAATTGGATGTAGCTTCGGACCGCATTCTCTGTGGCTCTGGGGAGACTACAGGCTATGAATGGGGAGAGGAAAGGGCTTCTGAGTGCTCAGTTCCTGAATACCAGCTTCCAGAGGGCCTGAAGGGCTCAGGCAACTGCGGTGGAGGGTGGTGGGGCCCTGGAGTCCCTAGGGTCCACAGCGTTGGCAGGCTGGTTCTTGTCAATCACTTCTTGAAGCCTTTTGACAAAGTGGAGGTCAGCCCCAATGGTGAGGTAGCCCTGGGTAGTGAGAGAGGGAATCTTTCTCATTCATTCATTCAGTTACTGAGACCAGAGTACATTACAGTGACTTTGGAGAACCAGTTCAAGGACAAGGCACTCCTGGGAAAGAGCCAGTGGAAGCCAGTATAAGAGTGATAAGAAGAGGGGCTGGGCGTGGTGGTCTACATTTTAATCCCAGCATTTGGGAGGCAGAAATAAGTGGGTCTATGTGAGTTGCTGGCCAGCCTGGTCTAGAAAGTGAGTTCCAGGCCAGCCAGGGCTACAATAGTGAGATCTTGTCTTAAATAAAAAAAAAAAAAAAAAATTTTTTTGTCTTTTTGAGACTGGGTGTCTCTGTAGCCCCAGCTGTCCTGGAACTCACTATATAGACCAGGCTGGCCTTGAACTCACAAAGATCTGCCTGCCTCTCCCTCCCAAGTGCTGGGATTAAAGGCGTGCACCACCACGCCCAGCAAATCAAACATTTTTAAAGGGAGAACCTAGGGTTTGGTACACAGCACTGCAGAGTAGTAGGGAGGGCAGGCCCTGGTCTACTCCCTCCCTTCCACTCTCCACTCACTGCGTGGTTCGTCACCACCTCATGCACGAAGTTGATTCCCTCAGGTAGGGGGATCTGTACTCCTCGCCAGGTCCGCTCTGTGGGTAGAAGATGCAGGCTCAGCCTGGGCCCCCAGCTCGGCCCTCGGCCACTTCCTCCTCACACCCCAGCCCTACCATTGAGCATGGGCATCACCCCGATCTGCAGCAGGGTCTTCAGTGGGGTCTGCAGCGGAATCAGCTGAGGGGAGAAGGGCACACAACATGTGGGAGGTGGGCTTGCCTGAGCTGCACCCCCAAAACCCCAGCCCACTCACCACCATTCCCAACTCACTGCCAAAGACTCCAGCGCAGACTGGTTTGAGTAGATATGGAACCTGTAGGAAGGAAACAAGCCCTGTGGTCATGAGACCTGGAAACAACCCCCCTTCTTGAGCCTACCCCCAGGAAGGCCCCAAGTTTCAACCTCCCAGGTCCCACCTATGCATCTTTTCAGGTCACTAGCTGCTAGTGCTTAGGTGTGTGTACACACACACACACACACACACACACACACACACACACACTATTGACTTACTTCCCTCCCAGGCACTCCTTTCCCAAGCCTGCTACTTTTTCCCAGACCTCTGCTGCTAGGCCTTCAGGTATGGTTTGTTTTATTTAGCAAAACTGAACAGTGCTTGCTCCCTGTCAGATACTAAAGCTTATTTTAAAAAGCTAAAATAGGGCCAGTAAAATGGCTTAGTGGGTAAAGGAAGGAGAAAACAGACTCCCACAGATTGTCCTCTGACCTTCATGTGTATGCACACATGCACACACACACACACACAATTCTTTTAAAAAGGGAGGCTGGAGAGAAGGCTCAGAGGTTAAGAACACGTTCTTGCAGAAGACCCGGGTTCGAATTCCAGCACCCACATAGTAGCTAGCAACTGTCCATAACTCCAGTTCTAGGGGATCTGATGGCCTCTTCTGTCCTCCGTGGGCATTGCACAACACGGGTGCACTTCCCATACATGCAGGCAATACATGCATACACATAAAAATAATAAATTTTTTTTTAAAAAGGGGGGAGAGGCATGTAAAGCAGAAGCAGGCAAATCTCTGAGTTTATGGCCAGCCTGGTCCACATAGGAAATTTCAGGCCAGCCAGGACCACACAGAGACCCTGTCTCAAAAATAAGGGTGGGTTGGGGGGGTGGGAGAGATGGCTTGGCGGTAAAGAGCCCTGGCTGCTCTTGCAGAAAATCCAGATTCAGTTCCTAGCAACCGCATGGCAGCTCACAACTATAGCTCCTGTTCCAGGGGATCTGACACCTTCTGACCTCCACAGGCTCCTGCACATACATGTGGTATATACATGTACTCAGGCACACATGCATACACGTAAAATAATCTTTTGGTGTGGTGATGAAGAGATGGCTCAGCGCCAGACGTGGTGGCACACGCCTTTAATCCCAGCACTTGGGAGGCAGAGGCATGTGGATCTCTGAGTCTGAGGCCAGCCTGGTCTCCATAGTGAATCCAGGCCAGCTGGGGCTACAGGGAAACCCTGTTTCAAAAAAAAAAAATGAGATGGCTCAGCAGAAGAGAGTTTGCTGCTCTTCCAAAGAACTAAAATATAATCCCATAGTTTTAGTTTGAGAATTATACTGTTTTAGTTGTTAGTATACTATTTTCTATTTATTTTTTAAAAAATTTTTCTCAACTTCCCAGACTGATTTTTTTTTTTTTTTGAGACAGTAGCCCCAGCTGTCCTGGAACTCACTATGTAGACCAGGTGACCTTGAACTCAGAGATCTGCCTGCCTCTGCCTCCCAAGTGCTGGGATTAAAGGCGAGCGCCACCATGCCCGGCTAAAAATAAATCTTTTAAAGTGTTGAAATATTGATCTGGAGGTATAACTCAGTAGTGCAACCCTTGCCTAGTATGTACAAAGCCCTGAGTTCTGTCCCCAGCACCATATAAAACATACATATGTGCAGGTGTGTATGTGTTCATGTGTGTACCTGGGTGAGGGTATACTTGTGTACAGGTGTGCATACATATATGTGTACGTGAATGTGGAGACCAGAGATCAACTTCAGGTCTTTCCTAAGATGCCTACCATGTTGTTTTGAGACAGTCTCTCATTGGTCTGAAGTCATAGGTTAAGCTAGGCTGGCTGACCGGGAGCCCCTGAAACCCTTGCGTATTCAGCACTGGGCTTACAAGTCTGTGCCTCCAAGCCTGGCTCTTTAGGTGGGTGCTAGGGATCAAACTCAGGTCCTCATCCTTGAACATGCTCAAGTAAGCTATCGTCCCAGCATTTGGGTTTTGCTTTCTTTTGTTGAGACAGGGTCTTGCTGAGGCCCTGGCTGGCCTCAGACTCACTGCAATCTTCCTACCTTGGCTTCCCAAGTACTAGAATTACAGGTGTGCACTGGGCAAGCTCAAACATTTTGAAATACCCATTGACTGAGTCCTCATTTACAATGGTAAGAATCGGGCTGTCAGGAATTGGATGTTACTGATGAGGAAACTGAGGCTGAAGAGGCGAAGTTACATGCCTGAAGTCACACAGCCGCATGGACTAAAGACCGCCTCTACAGACAAAACCCTTGCCTCCTTGCACCATTTCATTTAATCCCCAGAACAGCACTGTACAGCTTTATGCAGAATGTTCTGTATCTGTGCTTTCCTAGTGCAAACAAGGAGCTGTTTAATTATAAGCACAAATTATAAATACAAATTCAGATAGTCACATGTGGCCAGTGGCTATGACACTCCACGCCCTAGAAAATAGATGCTATTTTTACTTGTATTTAGCACAGGCAAAAAATGAGCCTTAGAAAGATAAAATAACTCGCCTCAAGGTCTCGGAGCTACACTGTACTAAGGTTGCTGCCCAAACCCCAGAGTTTTCACCGTCTTTGCTATGAGACTGTAGGATAGCATTTAGCCTTCACTGAACCAATTTCTTCTCTCTAACAATACCTATTTTGCCTACTTCTAGATGGTAGGGAACATGAGGAGTTGATTTAAGAAAATACTTTTGGGGCTGGAGAATGTAGCTTAGTTGCCTAGCATGTATGAGGCCCTGAGTTCGATCCCCAGCACCATGTAAACCAACATGGTGATGCACACTTGTAATCCCAGTGTTTGGGAGGTAGAGGCAGGAGGATCATCTTCAACCTCCTAGTGAGTGCATGTGTACACAGCATGTGTGTGGAGGTCAGAGGACAACTTTCAGGGTGTTGGTCCTTCGGTAGTTTCACCTTTTGTTTGAGACACTGGCCTGGAACTTCACCATGTAGCCAAGGCTACTGACCCCCGAGTTTCCAGGGATCCATCTGTAATGCCTCCCCCCCATGTGTGCCGCCATGCCCAGCTTTTGCCATGGCTTCTAGGGATTCAAACTCAGGTCTCCATGCTTGCAAGATTAAGTGCTTTAACTGAGCCATCTCCCCATCCTGAGTTCAGGTTTGTATGCACCAACAAAGACAGAACCCAGCTTGCTGGAGCCTTACAGGATTGACTCAATTCTACCTCCACTTTTCTGTTAGGCAGGTGTGATTATTGTGAGATTATCGTTAAGGTTCAGAGACATTAAGGGCCCACCCAGGATCCTTAGCAAGTGCTTACCTGCGGAGGTCCAACTTCGTGCGCAGTGCCTTGCCCCGGAACGTCATCTTGGCACTAAGACGGGCTTCCTACAGGAAAGTGCAAGAGAGACATAATGAACTAGAAAGCTCACAGCCCACTTCTCACTGACCCCCAGATACCCCCTTTCTGGGGCCCAGACCATGATCATCTTGGACAATTGGATTTCAGGCAGCATGGGTGGGGCCAAGGTGATGGTGACGCTGGCAGTGACTGAGATGGTGGTGCCTGAGGGCTTGATGGTGCAGCGTGGAGGGCTCATGGCCTGCAGCTTCAGCTTCAGTGGGGAGTCAATCACTGTAGGGCTCTGGGGACAGAGTGAGGAAGACAGGTCACAATCCCAACCTGTTACCTGGTGAGTTCTGGGGAAGGGGAAGAGAAGAGCAAGTCTTGGAGGCTAGGAATTGCAAGTAGAGACTTGCTGTGGCTCCCCATACCCTCCAACTGGCACCCAGGCCCCATGAATTGGTCAAAGGAGAATCTCTTATGCAATGGGCTCTTGCTGTGTTGTCAAGCTGGTCTTGAATCCCTGGACTCTGATCTTCCTGCTCAGCCTCTGAGTGCTGGAATTCTAGACATGTATCCCGTACCTGGCTCCTCCCCTTCTTCCACCTCAATGTTCAATCCAGACCCAATTGAGACTCCCCAAAGACAACCTTTTTGCATTAATACCCCAGCCCCTGCCCTCTCTTCTGTGAGATGCTGAGGTGTTTCTTCTGCAGGTCATATAAGAATCCTATTAATGCACGTGTTTACTCATCACTAAGCATGATTCTGAGCCAGGTGTGGTACCACAGCTAATAATCCCAGCATTTGGGATGTGGAGGCAGGAGGAACAGGAGTTCAAAGTCAGCTTTGGCTACTCAGCAAATTCAAGGCAAGCCTGGGCTACATGAGACCCTACCTCAAAAACAAACACCCTTAAACTTAATTCTGAACACTGCATATGTATTAGCTCATTTAAGCCTCAGAACAGTTAAGTGAGCCAGGCATTTTCTTTCTTTTCTTTCTTTCTTTTTTTGGTCTTTTTGAGACAGGGTCTCCCTGTAGCCCCAGCTGTCCTGGAACTCGCTATGTAGACCAGGCTGGCCTTGAATTTACAGAGATCTGCTTGCTTCTGCCTCCTGAGTGCTGGAATTAAAGGTGTGCACCACCATAACTGGCCAGGTATTCTTATCTTGTGTGTGTGTGTGTGAAGCATGTACACCGGATGTCACCATCAGGTGTGTCTTCCTCCATCACTTTCTACCTTTTGTTTTTTCACGGCAGGTTCTTTCACCGAACCTGGAGCTCACTGATTCAGCTAGTTTGGCCGGCCAGCAAGCCCCGGGGAGCCCATGACTCCCCTCCCCGGTGTTGGCATTACCCGACTGCTGTTCCCAGCTTTTTATGTGGGCACTGGGGATCCAAACTCAGATCCTCATGCTTTTGAGGTAGACAACTCTACTGACCAGGCCACTTCCCTAGGAACTTGGGGCAAACAGATTAATTAACTTCTCCAAGTTATGTAGTTACTCAGCTGTCGAACTAAGAGACTAATGCAGGCAGCCTGGCAACAGAGCCCATGCTTCTAAGTGCTCAGCCATAAAGCTGGCAGCGAGGATTCGAGCTGTAATAACAGCAGCTGTGTTTACTGAGCACGTACTCTGTAGCAGGTGCTAGTCTGATTACATGCATCATTTCATTTAAAACTCTGACAACTTTATGAGGCTGTATAATGTAGAGGAGGCCAGTGTGACCCTCAGTCAGAGGTTCAAATCCCTGTCACTTACAAAACTGAACCAAGAACACATTCTTTTTGTTTTGTTTTCAGGGTTTGTTGCTGTTTTGTTTTGAGACAGTGTCTGACTGTGTAGCCCTGGCTGGCCTAGAAATAACTATGTAGACCAGGCTGGCCTCAAACTCACAGAGATCTTCCTGCCTCTGCTTCCGTGTGCTGGGATTAAAGACATGTGCTACCACGCCCTGGCTTAGTATATATAAAGTTTTTGTGGCGTGGGGATTGAGCCCAGAGTCTTTAGGCAAGTAGTCTACCACTAAGCCATACCTCCAGCCTTGCTTTTTAAACATCATAAGCTGGAGAGATTGCTCAGTGGTTAAGAGCACTGACTGCTCCTGCAGAGGACCAGAGCAGAGTTCAGTTCCCAGCACCCTCATGGTGGCTAACAACCACCTGTAACTCCAGTTCCAGGTGAGCCAACCTGACCCCCTCTTCTAGCCTTTATGGGCATTGCACACACAGTGTACATGCAGGAAAACCACTCATATACATAAAATAAAAATAACTAAATCAAGCCGGGCATGATGGCACACGCCTTTAATCCCAGCACTCGGGGAGGCAGAGGCAGATGGATCTCGGTGAATTTGAAGCCAGCCTGGTCCACACAGTGAGTTCCAGGCCATCTGGGGCTATAGGGAGACCCTTTCTCAAAAAGACCAAAAAAAAAAAAAAATCTTGATTTTACAACGACATTTAGCTCATCTATTTTATTTTGTTTCTGAGTTAAGTATTTCTGAGGCTTCAGGACATTTTCTGCTCTTCACTCTCCAATGGTGAACTCCAGCTCACAGGGGACAGAGCCAGGGAATCCCTGGAGCAAGCTGACTCACCTGCTCCAGGTTCAGCAAGAGACCGTGCCTCAATATGCAAGGGAGAGTGACTGAGAAAGTCACGTGCCATCAACCTCAGGAATCCATATGTATACACACACATGTGCAATGCACCTGCACATACATGCAAGCACATGTATACCATACACATAGACATATGCAAAAACATTTATTTTTTTGAGGCAGGATCTCATGTTTCCCAGGCTGGCCTCAAATTGTCTATGTAGCTGAGGATGTCCATGAATTCTTGATTCTCCTGATTCTCCCAACCAAGTATTGCATTATTGGTCTGAGTCACATTCCCACAGTCCTGGGAATGAAACCCAGAGCTCCATATGTAGTAAGCAAGTACTCTACCAACTAAGCTATGTCCCTCGTCTCCTGTTTTTAAATGCTTTATTCCTTCTTTCCTCTCCCATTAAATAAAGATAAGTAAAAGTATACTAATCATTCCAAAGGCCCCTATACTTGGAAGGCTTGGAATCTCTCCCAACCTCATGGCTGCTCTGTGAAGGAGACAGGGCAGGAAGAGGCAATCCTCCTTCACAGAGTGGGAAATAGCCTTGGCAAGGTAAAGAAACTTGGCATAGACAAGAGGCCAGCCTTCTGTCTCCTCGATGGCCACAAGAGACCGCCACCTATTGCCTCACTGTTGTGTAGGTGGGGTGACCCCCAGCCCTGGCCACAACCCCACCTCTAGCCAATACTCACCAGGAGAATGATGCTCCCAAAGTAGATGGCCCTCAACAGCATGTCCAGATCCTGTGGCACCTGAACAGGGTAACTGGGAGTAAGACAGGGGTGTTGGAAACTCCATCATGGGACCCTCTTCCCTACCCTCAGACCAGGCCTGGCATACCTTGTCCCCCACCAGCGTCAGCTGCAGGGCCCCGGCCCGGAAATAGCTCTCCATGGCAGAGTCAAAGAAGAACTCAGAGAAGCCCACATACACCATCCGCTCCTCCTCCTGCAGCTGGGGCTCCACTGCCCTGTTGAGGAGACTCCAGTTCCCCTCGCCCAGCGGGTAGAATGCTCCCTGAGATTGGGAACCCAATGTCAGAGTCAAGGCAGACTGCACTGTCTCCTGACGCTGTGGGCTGTGGTAGGTGCAGTCAGGGACCATGGGAACTGGACCCCATGGCTGCTCTGGTGAGGTTCACAGACTCATCTCTCAAAAGACATACAAGGAAATGAGGGCATCAGGAGTGTGGTGGGAGGACCAGGAAAAGAGGAGTCGGAGTGGCCTTGAACACTGGGCAGCAGTGATCACAGCCACTGTTTTTACATATTCATAATGGCCATTTGGGGCTAGGTAGACTTTCAACCTTCTCCCATCCCTGGTCTCAAATTCATGACAATCCTGCCTCAGCCTCTTGCATGATGGGATTATAGGGATGAGCCACCATGAGGGATTCTCTCAGTTCCTTGAATAAATCAGTTCCTTTGGCTCATGTCAGAACCCTGTGAGGTGTATTTTCTTTTTTGGTCTTTTTGAGACAGGGTCTCCCTGTAGCCCCACAGCTGTCCTGGAACTCACTATGTAGACCAGGCTGGCCTTGAACTCACATGAGATCTGCCTTGCCTCTGCCTCCTGAGTGCTGAGACTGACTACAAGTGTGTGCCACCATGCCTGGCTGAGGTGTGTGTTCTTACTCTGTTATTTCCACTTACATATCAGGAAACCAGCAGACAGGTGAAGACACTGCCTGAGGTCCTTGGCAGGGTCAGGATTTTAACTTCAGACATTCAAGCTCCATACTTTGCTACCCAGCACTGGGAGAAGCAAAAGTAGCCACATACCAGCTCTCAGGCAAGAGACATCACTTCTATGACCAAGTCTTTGCCTCATCCTTAAACACAGTTGGGGCACCTGTGTGCTGAGTACTGAGTCCTGCTCTACAGGATTCTCTCTCTCTCTCTCTCTCTCTCTCTCTCTCTCTCTCTCGGGTTGGCCACAAACACAGAAATCCGAAGCACTTGCAGCACAGGCCTGATGACCTGTTTTTTCGTCTTTTTGAGACAGGGTCTCCCTGTAGCCCTAGCTGGCCTGGAACTCACTTTGTAGACCAAACTGGCCTTGAACTCAAAGAGATCCGCCTGCCCATTAAAGGGATTCACCACCACACCGGGCCAGTCCATGAATTTTTATTCTTCAAATGGAGAGACCAGAGCTCAAAAGCAACTGTCTCAGGGTGGTTTTGATAGCTGTTGAGTTTCCCACAGGGTCTCCCTGTAGCCCTAGCTGGCCTGGAACTCACTTTGTAGACCAAACTGGCCTTGAACTCAAAGAGATCCGCCTGCCCATTAAAGGGATTCACCACCACACCGGGCCAGTCCATGAATTTTTATTCTTCAAATGGAGAGACCAGAGCTCAAAAGCAACTGTCTCAGGGTGGTTTTGATAGCTGTTGAGTTTCCCGGGACCCGAGTCCCACAACCTAAGCCCACCCCAGTGAGAGAAAAGGCCTCTATGGAACTCAAAGACATGCCAGTACTCCTGCACCATCATGGTTCCTGAGCAGGAATTGAAGGGGAAACCCACCTAGGAGGGGCCCTGCACTGCTGATTGTAGACACTCCAATAGCTATCACACCCTGCAAAACAGATCCTGGTGTGTCACTCTCAGGTCAAGCCTTGGAGGCCAGAGAAAAAGAAAATGAAGAGTCTGATAAGCCAGACAGGGATGACGGATGCTCTTCCAAGCCTGTAGAGGGATTCTAAAGAGTTTGAAAATGTCCTTTCTGGCTTGCTCTGGCTCTTTGCTAGAGCTAGTAATGCAAACTTTTGGATAAACTCATGCTGCTCCCATGGGATGGAAGCAGTGGAAGCATTTCCTCTGTTCCCAGCGCTTGGTTTTCCCTTCTCCCTGACTTTGCCGTTCCCCCTTCACCTTCCTATCCTGTCACCGGTTAAGGGTTCCTCACTACACCTGGCTGTTACACAAGTGGAACTTCCAATGCATGCCCACTGGAGGGGAACCCCAACTGCCACACCTGACAACCCGTTTAGCTCAGAGAAGTCAGATTGACAGTTGCCCAAATTCCCTAATGGCAGCAGTTAGGGTTCACTCTTTGGGGAGGAGGGGATGATGAGAACAGTTGACAGAAACTGGCTGGGTGGGGCAAAGCATCTCTTCTGAGAATGTTCTTGCTGGAGGCCAGGAATGCTAGATGAGCCTTCTGGTTCCTGCTTCCTGGTTCTTTACCCTTGCCTAGAAGCTATATGTGCAGGTGTTGAGTGAAAATGAGGAGGCACCTGGACACCTTGTGGGTGGGCCAACTGGACTGACCAGCTCATTCCCCTCCTCATGCTTTAACCCAGCCCTTAGCCTTAGAAAAAGGCCATAAGCCTTAGAAAAAGCCCCAGACTAAGTGGCTCAGTGGTACCCTATTTCCTGGGACCCATCCTGCTGCTATAGAAGAGTCTGCCTTCTCTCTTTATCTTAAGCTCCCTATAATAAAATACTTCCTTTTTTTTGTCTTCTCGAGTCAGGGTCTCCCTGTAACCCCAGCTGTCCTGGAACTCACTATGTAGACCAAGCTGTCCTGGAACTCAGAGATCCGCCAGCCTCTGCCTCCTGAGTGCTGGGATTAAAGGCGTGTGCCACCACATCCGGCCAAAATACTTCTTTTTTTATTTTACGTGTATGAATGTTTTGTGTGTGCGTTTATGTAAGTGCACCCATGTGTACAATATTCACAGAGGACAGAAAAGGATGCCAGATCCCCTGGAACTGAAGTTATGGACTGTTAACCACTATGTGGTTTCTGGGAATCAAACCCGGGTCTTCTGCAAAAGCAGCCAGTGCTCTTAACTGCTGAGCCATCTCTCCAGCCCCTAAAATACTTTTTTCTAGCTGGGTGTGGTGGCACATGCCTTTAATCCCAGCACTAGGCAGGCAGAGGCAGGTGGATCTCTGTGAGTTCAAGGCCAGCCTGGTCTACATAGTGATTTCCAGGACAGCTGGGGCTACAGGGAGACCCTGTCTCAAAAAGACCAAAAAAAATAAAATAATAAAATTTAAAAAAAGAAAAAAAGAATACAATTGGCATTTCATATACACAGATTCAACTGTGATTAACAAACATTATTGGGGCTGGAAAGGGATGACTCAGTGGTTAAGAGCACTGGCTGCTCTTGTTGAGGTCCCAGGTTCAGTTCCCAGCACCCATTACTGTCTATATCTCCAGTTCCAGGGGATCCAACGCCTTCTTCTGTCCTCCATGGGCATTGCATGCATGAGTACACTTATGCACATGTACGCAAACCATCCATACACATTAAAATAAAGAAAATTGTTTTAGAAACAACATTGTCAGTCTGGTGAGATGGCTCAGCACGTAAGGGAGCTTGTGCCAAGGCCGATGACCTGAGTTTGATCCCTAGAACCCACATGCTGAAAGGCGAGAAATGACATCCACAAATTGTCCTTTGAACACCATATGCTCATCATGACACACATACATCCATATACATACCCGAAAAATAAACATAAAGTATAAAAATAAGTAATATTGTGGGGCCAGCAAGATGGCTCAGCAGGTGAAAGCCCCTGTCAGGCAAGCCTGACACCTCAGGTCAATCCCTGGAAGGGAATCCCTGGTGGAAAGAGAACACCAACTCCTGAAAGTTGTCCTCCAACCGCTATACATGTGCCACCTACACTCATAAACACTCATGCCATACACACATGCAATAATATAATTAAGCTGGATGTGGTGGTGCATGCCTTTAATCCCAGCACTCCACAGGCAGAAGCAGGCAAATCTTTGTGAGTTTGAGGCCAGCCTGGTCTACATAGCAAATTCAAGGCCAGCCTGAGCTACAGAGTGAGACCTCACCTCAAAGGGCCAAGAGCTATGTGTGTGGTTCAGTGATAGCGTACTTGTCAAGCATGTAGAAGGTCCTGGGTTCTATCCCAGCACACCACACAGACACACAGACACACACACACACAGACACACACACACACACACACTATAGGAGGATGTTTGTAAGTTATATACAAATGAGACATCATTTTATATAATGAACTTGAACATCCTCAGATGCAGCTATGGAGGGCCTTGCACCCAAGCCCCCTCAGAAATCAAAAGATGACTGTGTAAATGTTAGCGCTTGGTTGGCAGGGCTAGGAGAGGCAGGGGATAGGCAGTACATGAGCAAAAGCCCTCAGGTGAGGATCCTTCAGGGCACAGCTGAGCAAGGAGGAGCTGCAGAGAAACCAAATGCGATTAGAAAGTCGGGGCAGTTAGAAAGGGATTGCAGGGGGTTTAACCTAAGACTGAAGCAGCAGGAAGCCAGAGTATCCTCAGTAATGAGAGGCATCTGCAGAGCCCTGCTCAACCACATAGAGGAGGAAGAAAGCCGGGTAGGCAGCCAGAGGTTAAGGCACACCAGCCCAGGCAGCTCACCCGGAATTCCATGTTTAGATTGCCATTGGAGACCACAGGATCCTTCAGGAGGGAGTAGTCAATGCCAACCAAGCTCATCCACAGAACTGCGTACTGCAGGGAGGGGCCCAAGTCACTCCAAGCTGGCTAGTGACACTCCCCTCCCAGGGTTCTTAGAAGGATCAAATTGGTTTTAAGTGGAAACCACTTAGTGCCTGGTGTGTATTAAGTGTTCAGTAACAAAGCAGTTGTTGATCACTCCTACCACTACAACGACTACTAAAAGAGTTTCATCAAATTGCCAAGGAAAACGGCAAAGGAGGCCAGTGAAATTGTTTATCAGGTAAAGGCACTTGCCTTGAAAGCCTAGAGACCTGAGTTCAATCCCCAGAGCCCACATAAAGGTGGACGGAGACAACCAACGCCACAGTGTCATTGCCTGACCTCCACATACATGCCAGGGTATGGGTACCCAAACACACACGTGATACCATGTGTGCTCATATAGACACAATAATAATGTTTTTAAATTTTTAATTTATTTTTTATTTTTTTATGTGTGTGCATATATTGCCTGCATGTAGGTAAGTGCATCCATTCCGTGCAATGCCCGCGGAGGTCTGAAGAGGCTGTCAGATCCCCTGGGACTGGAGTTACGGACAGTTATTAGCTGCCATGTGGGTGCTGGGATTCGAACCTCGGTCTTCTGCAAGAACAACCAGTGTTCTTAACCACTGAACCATCTCTCCAGCCCCCAATAATTAATAATACATTTTTAAAAATGTTTTATTATTTTTATTTTTGCATGTATGAGTGTATTGCCTGCATGTGTGTAAGTACACCCATGTTGTGCAATGCCTACAGAAGTCAGAAGAGGGCATCAGATCCCCTGGAATTGAAGTTATGGATAGTTGTTAGCCACCATGTGAGTGCTGGGAATTGAACCTGGGTCCTCTGCAAGAGCAGTCAGTGCTCTTAACCACTGAACCATCTCTCTAGCTCCCCATTTAAAAAAATGTTAAGCTGGCAAAGGAGGTATTTCATTTCTTGGTTTCCCTTGTCTCCTCCTTTTTCACACCCTGTGTGTTAGACCTGATAGGACAAGGTCTCTGACCCACAGTGGACAGACACCATGGCTTAGGAAAAAAAAAAAGAGTTCATGTTAACTGAGCACTTACTGTCATATGATTTGAAGACAAATGGGACCCCAGTGATTAGTAAGCAGATTAGAGACCTTGACAACCCCTGGGGGTGGTTACCAGCCAGTGAGGAAACTGAGGCTCAGAGGGAAGTTTGTACTAGGTTACACAGCATGCTAGTGACACATTTGAAGCCAGGACTGCCCCATAGCTGGACTTTGAAGGGACCTGTTCTGAGATCCTGCATGACATCTGCTACCTGGCTTCCTCCCTCCTTAGCTCCAACTCCAGGCCTGCAGCAAGGTGCCTAAACTCACCAGCATTGACTCACCAGGCACTGTGTCCAGGAGGGTGTTGAGTAGCACCATTCCAGCATGGTGGAGCACTGGGCAGATCTGGGGTACGGGGTCAGAGTCAGGGGGCTTCTCAAAACCAGGCCACCTCCACCCTGCTGCCCAGGCCTTTCACTGCCCGTACCTGCTGATTGAGGAGGAAACGCATCCCAGAGATGATGAATGTGGAGAAGAAGTCATACACCCTCCTGCAAGGACAGGAGAGCCTGGGTGAGCCCAGCCCCTCCCTCTGCCCTAAGCCAGAGCCAGGAGAAATGACAATGCCCAAAGAAACAGTGGTGCCAAGGACTCCTCAGTATGGGAAGGACTTGTACAATATGGACATGTTCTGGACAGATGACTTTTACTTAACCTTGCAACCAAAAAGTTAATCTTAGCTTGTTTTACTATAGACAAGCTCACTGAGTTGAATGCTCCTTTTGTGACCCGGGCATACTACCTTAATCCCTCATGACCTTTCCTTGCCCTGGACCCAAATTAATGTATGAATGTGTGTATGTATATTTTACTTATCAAAGCTTTGCAAGCAGTGCTTATCTCATTGAAAACAATGAGATGAACATCCCTGTTTGTGTTGTAAGCAATAGATGGGAACAAATTGATAGTCTGTTTGTGGTTTATTTGTGTTATTCTACATCAGTAGGAATCTGAAAGGGCAAATTCTTCTCTGAGAAGATAATTCTGCTTTTGCTTCCCCATTTCATGCTGGACAGACTGTTTCGATTAAAAACAAACAAACAAACAGAAAATCGAAAACAAGAAAATTGTTGAGAGAATTCTGAAGGGACAGATGCTCAGTAGTTCAGGTCCACTCTTGGCTTAAAATGGATGTTCAGGCTGTTTTTATTTGGGTAAAGCCATAATATGGCATTGTGTAGTAAATGCCAAACCTCAGCTTCAGCCAGCAACTCTGAGCAATTCTCTAAGATCCAAGCCCCAGTGCCTCTTCAGCCAGATTCTCAAGATTACCTCTTCTACCTGCCCCCGCCAGCCAGAGAATCCCTCCATAGCTCCTCACAACTGCTCAGAATTCCCCATATCCAGTCTGTACACTTCCTAATGCCGTCCCAAGTTTCCTGCCTCTGTCCTCCTAACTGAACTCAGATGCCTCCTCTTCCAGGCAGTCTTCTCTGATCACCCTCCATCAACTGCTCCTCCTCCCCGCCAAGATTTTCTTGGCCCCTCTTCCAAAATTCTCATAACCAATGTTTCAGTCTCTCTAGCTAGGCTCTAAACTACTTTCTAAGTCCTTAGGGCTTGGCATACACTATTCTTATTGAACAAGTAAAAACTGACCATGTGTGAACATAAGATGATAAATCTACCATGTTCTCCCTGACAGAACCAACAAGAAGTCTCCAGGACCCAGACCTATGTCATTATTTTTATTGCTATTTTTATTTTATTTACTGCATGCCCAACTGTGCATACTGTCAGTTTCATTTTGTTTGTTTGTATTTTTTGTTTTTTTTTGTGACAGGTTCTCACTATGTAGGTGGCCTCAAACTATCAGAGATCTACCTGCCTCTGCCTCCTGAGTGCTGGGATTAAAGGCATGTATCACCATGCCTGGCCAGTTTCATGTTTTAAAAAAGATTTATTTGAGGGGCTGGAGAGATGGCTCAGCGGGTTAAGAGCACTGTCTGCTCTTGCAGAGGACCCGGGTTCGATTCCCAGCACCCACATGGCAGCTATGAACTATCCTTAACTCCAGTTCCAGGGGAATCCGAAGTCCTCTTCTGACTTCCACAGCATTGCACTCCCGGGTGCACTCACATATATGCAGGCAATACACTCATACACATAAAATAAAAATGATAAAAAAAATTTTAAAAAGATTTATTTTCATTATTTATGTATATATGTGTGTCTGTGTGCCTGTATGTGCAGGTGTCCAGAAGAGGGCATTGGATCCCTTGAAGCTGGAGTTACAGGTGCTTGTGAGCTGCTCAAAGGTTGCTGAGGACCCCCAGACCCCTTCAAGAGCAGTATGTGTTCTTAACCAATGAATCATCTCTTCAGCTCCAGTTTAATTTTTAATTCAAGTACTTGGTTTTGAACCCAGGGCCTTATGCATGCTAGACAAGTGCTGTACCACTGAGCTGCATCCCTGGGCATACTAACCCTAACAATTATTCTTTTTTGGGGGAAAAGGGGTTGAGACAGGGTCTCTCTGTAGCCCCAGCTGGCCTGGAACTCACTATGTAGACCAGGCTAGCCTCAATCTTACAGCCTGCCTCTGCCTCCCAAGTGCTAAGATTAAAGGTGTGTGTTACGTCGCCCGGCTCCTAACAATTATTTTATCTATGTGACTGGCACTGAGACATTTACCACCTGCCAGGTATTATTCTATATACTCTGCATCTATCAGCAGGATCCTCACGAGCATCACGAAATACGTTCGTGATTTTTAGTTCCACTTTGTAAAAGAGGAAATTGAGGCACTGAACTGCAGTGACTTGTCAAAGTTCACAAAGCCAGGAAGTGTCGAGCTGGGGTTTGGACTCATCAGTACTCCCAGGCTTTGCACTTTCCATCACACTAGGAAACTGGGCTTCGGGGCTCAAAGGGGGTGTGCCAGGGCTGGAACTTACTTGAAGGTTCCTCCGAAGGCCATATCCATTCTAGAGACAGAAGCCTCACAGGAGACATTGGACACTTTAATCCGACCAGTGGGATCCCGGGAGAGCTGCAGACCTATGCGGATGGACACACCCTCGGCCGAGGCATTGATGTAGCTCCCATCATAGCTGCCAAAGGGGGTTCATGTTCACCCCAATGGGAGCTTAATGGAGGAGTCACTGACCCTCTCCTTATCCATACATCATGACAACCTCTTTTGTTATACATGTATAGAATGCATTTGCAGGATTTACCCCCACTGCCCTCTGTCCTCCTCTCCACCCCTGAACCCCTTGTTCTTTTCAACAAGACCCTCTCTTACTTTCGTGCCTTTTGTTTGTTTGGTTTTTGTTTTGAGATGGGGCCTCACTACATAGATCAGGGTAGCCTGGAACTCACAGAGCTCCACTTGCCTCTGCCTCTGAAGAGCTGGCATTAAAGGCATGGGCCAGAACACCTTGTAGATGTCATTTTGGGTTTTTTTTTTTTTTGTCTTTTTGAGACAGAGTCTCCCTGTAGCTCCAGCTGTCCTGGAACTTCTATGTAGACCAGGCTGGCCCTGAACTCACAGAGATCCACCTGCCTCTGCCTCCTGAGTGCTGGGATAAAGGCGTGCGCCACCACATCCGGCCCTCGGCTTCTTTTTTTAATTAATTAATTTAAATCACTGAGTTTAATTAGGGTTGCTTGCATGAGCATGGGCGTGGTTACTGACTGGAGCATAGACAACTTACTCAGTGGTTACACCACTTCATAAAAATGACGCCCCTTCCCATCACAGCCATTAACTGCCAATAACTCCTCAGCTAGGGATGGAGCCTCCTGATACCTCCTCACCAGACTGCACTCTGCTTGTCTGCCAGGCATCTACCAAACTCTCCTCTCAAATGGAGAAACTGAAACTTAAGAAGGCTAAGTGGCGCTGGCCACCAGTCCAGACCCCCCACCCCTGAGAGAACAGGGTCCTCACAAGAACCAGTAGAGAAGCTGTCTTCGGAAGCGCAGCCCCAAGGAAGCATTGGAGATGTGCAATATCAGCTCTTGCTCTGGCTGGAAATGGAGCTCTGAGGATATCAACTGCAGCTCAGTGACCTTCACGCTGTGGAAAGCAGGCACCAGTTCAGGTCCCAAGCAAAGAGAAGAGGACCCACCCCTTCACAGGAAATTCATTTCCTCCTCTTCTAGTCTCAGCCAGGGGAAGCTGGGTGGGTGGAATGGATTTTTCCATTGTCCCTCAAGAGTCTGACCTGTATTTGGTAACTCAGGGATCAGCTCCTGTACACCCAGGGGTTAAAAGTGACCTTCATTCTTTTTTTTTTTTCTTTAAAATGAGGGTCTCCATTTTTTGTCCAGATTGACCTTGAGTTTGTGAGCCAAGGCAATCCTCCTGCCCAAGTCTCCTGAGTAGCTGGGATTACAGGCCCCCTCACCTGGCAATCTCATCACCCCACCACTTAAAATTCTTGCTGCTTAGGGCACAATGGCTCACACCTGTAATCCCAAGCATTCAGCAGGCAGATGAGGGAGGAATGCCTTGAGGCCAGCTTGGGCTACAGAGCAAGAAGTTCTCAAAAAACAATAATGATTCTCTTGACACTCACCTGTTCTGGGCCTGCGATAGCTTTGTGTACCACCCAGTGAGGTGAAGTTTTATCCTTTTTTAATATTTTAATTTTATGTGTATGAGTGTATTGCCTGCATGTGTGTAAGTGCACCCGTGTCCTACAGTGCCCAAGGAGGTCAAAAGAAGGTGTCAGAGTCCCTGGAACTGGAGTTCTGGAGGGTGGTTAGCCTCCATGTGGGTGCTAGGAATGGAACCCGGGTCCTCTGGGTTCAGTCAGTGCTCTTAACCACTGAGCCATCTCTCCAGCCCCAGTGAGATGTAATAAGGTCCATTATATCAGAGGCATTGAAGAAGAGGATGATGTTGAAATGACAAAACAGAACTTTTTGCTGGACATTACATGTGTGTGTATTTCCATACAAGAATTTTGTTTGTTTTCTTCAAAGTTGGGGGGAGGCAGGCATGGTGGTACATGCCTTTAATCCCAGCACTCCGGGGGCACAGGCAGCTGGATCTCTGTGAGATTGAGTCTGACCTGTTCTACAATAGTGAGTTCCATGCCAGCTAGGGCTCCAGGGAGATCCTGTCTCAAAAAAAAAGAGGGTGGGTGAGGCTGGAAAGATGGCTTAGTGGTTAAGAGCATTTGCTGACTTGTGAGGACCCAAGTTCAGTTTCCAGCACCCACAAGGCAGAGCACAACCAACTGTAACTCCAGTTCTAAGGGCTCCAGTGCCCTCTTCTGGCCTCCACAGGCACTGTATGTAGGTGGTGCACATACATACATGCAGGTATAACATACATATAATTTTTTTTTTAAAAAAGAAAAGAAACAGCTGGAGATGTAGCTTAGTTAGTGGAGTCTTTGCCTGGCTTGCATGGTGCCCTGGATTCAAAGCCTAGAGCTACATAAACCTAAGCGGTCATACGATGCCCATTCTACATGGAGACAGGAGGATCAGAATTCAAGGCTATCTTCAGCTACATACTGAGTTTGAGTTTGAGACCAGCCTGGGCTACATGGTACTCTGTGCCAAAAGAAAAGAGCATGAAAAGAAAGAAAAAGAAAAGAAAACCCACAAATAACTATGCTTGTACCTTGTTCTCTCCCACACAGTGGGATTTCCAACCTGATTTTTGGGGGGAAGAGGGCACAAGGTCTCAATGTAGTCCAAGTTCTCAGTGTAGCCCAAGTTGCCCTTGATCTTGTGATCCTTCCCCAGCCCTCTGAATGTCTGGATTACAGGCCTGTGCCACCATGCTCAGCTTTCGACCTGGTTTTTCTTTTTTTTTTTGGTCGTTTTGAGACAGGGTCTCCCTGTAGCCCCAGCTGTCCTAGACCTCACTATGTAGACCGGGCTGGCCTTGAACTCACAGAGATCTGCTGCCTCTGCCTCCCAAGTGCTGGGATTAAAGGCGTGTATCAACACGCCTGGCCCGACCTGGTCTTTTAAACAGTCTGTTCACTTTGTCTTCATTACTGAAACTCACCATTTAACCCAATTCGCCCATCCTTTGCCACAAGGATGCACCTTTAGTCCCATAACCCATCCATTAACTTCACTGCAGGCCTAGACTCTCTACCCTCATCTATTGGTAAATCCTTCCACTGCATCTTTTTGGAGGTTCTTTGGACCAGGCTTCCATTCTACTGGTCCGAGTTCCTTTTCCTTGGGCTCGCCTACTTCTGGGTAACACACACCTTCTTAGTCTCGCCAGTGTGGGCTGGCTACGCCTTTACCTTTTTAGCCCATCTCAGACCAGGCAACATCAGCTCGACCTTGGCCTCTCCTGGGATCAAGGACGCATTTCGTCAGCCCCGCCTCCAAGCACTAGGAACGACCGCCTTTGAAGCCCCGCCCCCACGCCGTGGCCCCCGCCCCCGCGCCCTACTTACTCCGAGATGTTGTAGGAGAAGTGGCCCTTTCGGCCCTGCAGATCTGGGATGATGATGGTCTCCAGCTCTTGCTCCAGAAAGCGCAGCCCCTCCTGCTTCACTGCAGCCGCACAGACACCCTTAGGTCCCGCACCCTCCCGCGGGGCCCGCACCCTCCCGCGCCACTGCCTCGAGCATTACCCAGCTCCAGCGCCTT